GCTGCCAATAGCTCCTCACCTAGGGTTGGAACCTTAGGAGTCCTTCTCCCCATCCATGCAGGTGACCACAGCAGCTGGGAGTTGATCTACAGTAACTGTGCCATGTATAGAAGTCAGCATTTCACAGCTCTCCTCCCCACCCACCAATGCTTACATTCTTTTCACCCCCTTTTCTGCAACCTTCCCTGAGAGTTGTAAGGTTGGTATAAATGACCTATACACGCTGAGCTGTCAGAGTTGTAGTACTCATCATTTTCACCCACTGAGTTTCTGTGTTCTCTACTACTCACTCTTAAAAGAAGCTTCTTTGAACAAAGGTGAGAGCCATGCTAATTTATGGGAATAAAGAAATTTGTTAAGCAGTTTACAACATGACCATTTGAAAAACAGCAAGAGTTTGTTGCCCCTTGGGACCTATGATGTTTCTAGTCATGGGTTTTTGACCAGGTTTTCGGTACTAAAGCATAAAATTCTTCCCATGGAACAGCCTTCGTATCTAACCAAGAGAGCAGTTAGCTACCCTCATAAGCAATCTTTCCACTACTGAGCCAGTAGGCATACTTTGCCTTCCACATCAATATTGTAACATACGGCATCCAGTGCTGCGTAAGACCATGATGTGTTTTTCTCCCCTACCAGCCTGCACAGCAACTTCCGCAACTCTGTAATCTTGCCAGTAGGTAGAGAGTTTACCTCTTTAGTTCAAGGTCTCTGTATCCTGCATCCAAAGTGAGTGATATCTTCATCAGTGAGGTCTTACCATCTAGTTATTGTGGGAAACCAAGAAGTTTTATTTTTCAAAAGTAGAAACTGAAGCACATGGAGACTAGATAACTTCCCCAAAGTCACAGATTTAATAAGTGCCATAAACCAAACTAAAGGTTCTGAAATAGTGTTTGTCCATATTGAGCTCAAACAAAATAGCTGAATTTAGAAAGAACTAGTGTTATCATAACAGTAAGTTTAATAAAGTATTTAAGTACATTTATATATTCAAATTGGATGATACTTTCATTATAATTCACACTGAATTACCTAGCACATAATTATTTCAAAATTTTGTGCCCATCATTAATATTGGGTTTAATTATGTCTTGTTTCATGCCTCAGATCAATAGGCTAGCTATAGTTGTTTCTAGTGTATAGAGCGTATGGGCTGGTGAGATGGATCAATGGGCAAGGTGCTTTCTGATGAGCCCAATGACCTGAGTTTGATTCCCAGGACCCACATGGTAGAAGAAGAGAAATGGCTTCTGAAAATTGTCCCCTGGCCTCCACTTGTGTATCATGATACTCTACATGCATGTATTTATGTGAATGTGACACACACAAATAAGCAAATCAATATTTGAAAACACTTATTAGAGTATATTTACATAATATTCTTAGAACTTTTAAAAGCCATTTTTGTTGATCTGTGTTATTCTCCCATTTTTTATTGTGATATCAACTAGAGTACTTTGGTAATAAGTACTGGTAATATAATACCCAATTAAAAGTAACTTAACAATGGAGATTTATTAATAAATTTTATGTAATAAGAAGTCTGAAGTTAGGCAACTCCAGGTCAATCCATTCATTCAAGGACTTATTTTGTCCATCTTTCCACTGTATAGCCTTCAAGATGCTTAGATGGTGGTAAGATGAATGCATCAGTTCAATCATCCTAGCCTAGCAGAGCAGTAGACAATGGAGGAATAAGGGAGGGGGCACAAAAAAAGTAGTTCTTTCTTCACAGAGAGAAAAACTTTCTGAGACTGCCTATCAAACTTGCTTCTATGTCTTTATTGCTTGGCATTTTGCCACATGACCGTCCTTTGCAGGCTGTGACACAGAAACAGCTGGAATTTTCAGTCTTTGTCTATGTAGGAGGAAGTGTTTACTAGGCTGGTGAGGGGCAATCTGTTGTTTTTTCGGTAACTACCATTGTGTGTTTACTATAGAAAATGAATAGCTAAGCTTAGTGTATAAGAAACCTGTAGATGAAACAGATATTAATAATATCCATACTTAATTGGCTATGGGAGCTGTAATGATGCCTTCCCACATTGTTTTTGTCTGGTAGACTTAATGCTACTGTGTTTCTGGAGTCTCACTTTATGGCAAAACTTTCTGAGAAGACCATAGTAAATTTGTTTTTAAAAGACTGGAATTTTCAGGAAGTATGTTTTTCTTTAATAAGGAAAATGATTATTTCTGTTGGAACTATAAAATATTTGCTTCTAGAGGGTCTCAGTTACATGTGACTAGAATGTATAAGCAGAACTCTTTCATAACAACAGTAACTTATAAGTTTATAAATTTATAAACCAAGAATGACCGAGATTCATCTTTTAAAAATATTTTATTATATTTTATTATTTTAATTTTTATGTGTATAAGTGTATTGCCTGCATGTGTGTAAGTGCACCCATGTCGTGCAGTGCCCAGGGAAGTCAGACGAGGGTGTCAACTCCCCTGGAACTGGAGTTACAAAGAGTTGTTAGCTGCCATGTGTGTTCTGGGAATCAAACCTGGTGCTCTGCCAGAGCACTCAATGCTCTTTACCACTGAGCCATCTCTCCAGCCCCAAGATTCATCTTAAAGTCTATATGTCAATCCCAGCATTTGGTAAGCTGAATTGAAAGGATTACCGTGAGTTTGAGGCCAGCCTGGGCCTTATAGTGAGTCTCTGTCTCAAAAATAATCCAGTTGAATTTAGTAGAGGAAATTCATGTAAGATGGAGAGAATTGAACTCTGTCATTTACGATATTTTACTTCTATTTTTGTAATTTTTATTGAATATTCATTTCATACAAGACATCTTAATCATATTTAGACCCCCTCCATTATCTGCACACTCTTTTAGCTCCATCTACACCTGATTTCATGTATTCTGTCATATATTTTAGGGACTATCCAGTCAAGCTTGTGTCCCCAGGTGTCCCTCTGTGTGAGCTTATCCATTGGAGACTGGTCAATCTATCTAGCATCACACCCATAGAGAAGATCAGCTCTCCCCCACCCAGCAGTGATCAGTTGCCAATAGTTCCTCAGCTAAGTTTAGGGCTTCTTACACATTTCCCGAGTTCTATGCTGGGTTTGATCTGGTTTAAGACTGCATGGGTCTTATGCATACTGTCAACATTGCTGTAAGTTCATATGAGCAAGGTCCAAGACCCCTGTAAAATTCTATTTCCTTGTGGTCATCCACCATCCATGGATCTTAGAATTTTTCTGCCCCCTCTTCTGCAAAGGTCCCTGTGATCTGGTTGGCAGAGGTTTAATATAGGAGTCCTATTCAGGGACACACATTCTGACGTCTCTTATTCTCTACATTTTGACAAGTTGTAACTTTCTGGGTTAATCATTATCTTTTGCATGAGGAAGCATCCTTGTTGAGAGTTGAGCAATGCATTGATATTCTCTCTGCCCCCTGTTTGGTATGTTCCCTGAGGTGCTTAAGTTGCATTGTAGATGTGTCACTTAAGGCTGGGCATTTCACTGACACTGTCTGTATTTGATCAACTGTGAAACCCTGTAATATTTTCCATCTGTTGAGAAGATGTTTCTTTGATGAGTGCAGAGAGATATACGTGTCTGTAAATATAAGGATACATATTTATCATACAGTAAGAAATTACATTTGTCTACAGATGTGACAGACAGTGTTTTCTCAAGGATCTATGACCTCTCCAGCCATGAGTTCCCTCCCATCAAGTGGACTTTAAGTACAATTATATAGCTGTTGCAAAAGAGCAACTACTGAGTCAATGGAGACAGTTTTCTGTGTTGGTCATTGTTGTGGTTAATCAGCTTTTCAGCTGGGTTGGACCACTGATTGCTTTTTTCCTTTAGCAGGTAGCAGAGTATACTTTGACACTATGAGAGCTAGTTTTAAGGGAGGAGGAGTTCAGATCAATTCCAGATCCATTGCCTTAAGTCCTGTGTTTGAAGAATGTCCTGTCTTCAGCAATAGGGCCTCACCTTCAAGTTCTGGGAGGTAATCAAGGGCTCTGGATAGCCTGTGTTATTTTGGGAGTCTCCTGGACTACCCAGGGGATCCTATACCTTCTTCTGACCTCCGTGGGCATTGTATGACATGGGTACACTTACATACATGCAGGTAATACATGCATACACATAAAATAAAACTAATAAAATATTTAAAAATTACAAAAAGTTACATGTATTTACAGGCACTAAGTTTCAACCTGGAACTCTCATAGTGTTGTCATTTTATTGGTGGTCAGAAAGTAGAAGTGGAGCATAATGTGAGAGAGAGAGAGAAAGGGGAATGGGATAGGACAAAGAGACCAAGATAAAGAGACACACACGGGGGTGGGGGCAGACAAGGGAGATAGACTGAGAATATTTTAGTGAAGGTTCAGTGTTCTAACTGGATTATATACATATTTTCTGCCCTGCCTACCACTTTCTTCTCCATCTCTATTTTCTCTTCCTGTCAGCTCTCCTTACCTCTGTTTCCGTTTTTTGTCCCACTTTCTACTTTGTCATTTCTTATCCTTTCTTTCTTTATGCCTTTTCTTTGACAGTTTTGTCCGTTGATTCTTGCTTAGCAATCCCAGTGGCTGTGAGGTCAAAGAGCTCTGATTCTAAGCAGGGTTGACTGCATTTATAGCATTGCATTTTAAGCAAAATGATTTTTTTTGGCCAATAACAAAGCATTATGAAACCGAGTATAAAGATGAATAAATAGTTGTAAGGAATAATGCAAAGCTGATAGTAAGCTTAGGCAGTATATAATTCATGTGTAAATCATGTGCATTATTATATATAGGAAGTTCAGGTATAGGGAACAAATTAGTCTTCTAACCAAAAAGTTATGTAGTAACTTATACAGGCTATAAGGAAAAAGTTCAAAATCCACCTTCACATATCTCTTATATAAACCATTGATAACCTCTGTTCAGCAACAGCTGTCATTAACTGCAGTCTTTAGTTCAGGAGTCCTAAGTGCAGTTGTTAGGACTGCTTAACTTTCTGCCTTACTCTCACAATGCTGGACTGCACATTTATGCTGACTCGAATTCTGTTTGTCTGCTGTTTTTTGATGGTACATTGCTCACAACGTAAGAAAATTTCAATTGCTTTATTTCTATAGGTTGAAGATATAGTGAATTAATTTGATTTTAATTAGAAAAAGAAACGTTACTGTGGCATTATTAAAGCCTAAGAAATTAGGTAGTATGCCAAGCAAAAATTCTGCTGCGTAAATCTGAAAGTATTTACTTTGTTATTTTTTGAGGGTATTTCTTCTTTTGAAGCTAACACGTTTGTCTCTGTTCTCTTAGACAAACATGAAATATGTAAGATACTGTGGGGAAACAACAAATTTTACTGAAGTTGGTGTTGGCAATTATTTTAGGCTACCTCTATTTAAAAATTTGTTTCTCAGACTGTGTTTAAGAAATTCTTCAGAAAAATGTCAATCTGCAATATATTCAAAACAATTATGTACTTATTTGATATAACAAAAACCATATGCATGTCTATAAAAACCATTGAAGGAACAATTAATACAATCATATCTGTCTATAAAAATAGAGCCTAAAATTTCTGCTAAGCTAAAAGGTACATTTCTTTTTCTAAACATTGCCTTTTAAAAACAGATGTGTCTTAAATTCCCCCTAAGCAGCAATATTTGATCCAGGATTTCTGGCAAGAGATTTTTGTAATATTGTACAGTTAGAGGAACTATTTTGGCAAGCTGAAGTTGTTTTCCCATTTGAAAATGAGAGTCAAGCTTCTGAAGAATTATACTGTATTTTAATTTTTGCTTAGAAAATCTCTTACGTTTTGTGATGCTTCTCTTTTGTTCCCTTGGCAATATAAGTACATAGTAATTTCAGCATGTCATATTTGATATGGAGAAAATGGGTTCTACAAAGGGCAAATGGCTTCTTTCTAGATTCTACAATTCTGATCTTCTGTGCCTACCATCTCCTGTGCCAAACAGATACTCAGATATTCAGAGACAATTCTGAAATTTCACTCTGCAAACTTTTTGCTTTGTGTCTAGGCTGGTGGAGGGTCAAAGTAAGTCACTATTTCTTAGGTTTAAGGTTTTTGTACTCTACATGTCCTGTGACTTGTAACAAGCTTTTCTTCTCACTTGCTTTCAGACTGCCCCTTTTTCTCAGTTCTCCCTGAGGAAGGGTTCCTGCAGCTGTGTCTTTGACAAAATAACTTTTTTTTCTGGTGGCTATGAGAAAAAAAAATCATTATGAGATGGGGTTGAAGAGCCCACTACTCCCAGTGGCCCACTAGCAGGTTGATTATCTAATCCACTTGTACAAATCAGTGTGTTTTTGCAGGGAAGGGGACACACTTATTAATTGTTCCACAACAATAAGAATAAACTGGAGCTATCTTAGTGTGCCAGTTGTATGCCGACTCTTTCTTTGGATATATTGCTTTTTTCTTTCCTTAACTCAAACATTATTATATTCAAATTTAGCCCACAAGAACATTAGATGTCCTTTTGCCTGTAATGCTATGGATTGACTTCATAAAAACATATTTTAAAAATAACCAGTAAAATTGGGCGTGGTGGTGCACACCTGTAGTTCCAGCACTTGGGAGGCAGAGGCAGGCGGATCTCTGTGAGTTCAAGGGTAGCCTGGTCTACATAGTGAGCTCCAGGCCAGCTGGGGCTATAGAAAGACCTGTTTCAAAAGACCAAAAAACAAAAACAGTAAAAAGTAATGAAAAGAAGACTTGTTTGGATATTTCATCTTGAAATTTGAGACTTAATGCTTGACAATATGATATTTGAAAATTCTCAAAGTAATACAAACTTATTTTCACTTTTCTATTATAAAATTATTTAACGTGAACAGTTTTCTAATATTCAGAACTTTGCACTTGTGTACTATGTAAGCTTGTAACATTTTTCTCTGTTATTGAGAGATTTTTGAATTTTACTGTTTATAGCCAACTGTACATCTGTGACTGATTTTGATGATTGCCCTGGAAATATAACAGATTTCTGTCCAAGGAATATTGTTTGTGCGTGCAAAGATGGAGAGCCTTTCTGCAAGTAAGTTGCTGTTCTGTAAAATAAAAGTAAATATGGTATATTGTAAGTAATTCAGTTTGTTTTTATTCATTTGGTATAGACAATGATATAATAGCTTTAAAAATAATAATAAACTCAGAAACAGTGCCTGTGTACATGGTACAATGATTGTGATCTTTCTAAAATATTTTAATTTATTCTCTGAAAAATTATACTAAGTTTTTTAAAATTGCAACTGAGATGGTTTCTTTT